TGTGTGGTTCCCTCATAAAACTTGGGTGCCCCTTGGGAACAATCCAATATCAATATTCGGCTTATAAAAAGCCTTCAATATTGCTTAGGATTTCCGATGTGGGACAAGTCCTACACACACTTTGTTCCAGAGAGAAATTCGGGGGACAATTTCTCATTCATTTCAAAATGTTTTTCTACAAATAGTATATTGAAGCGTTCACCTCACGAAGTACAATATGTTAGGAAGTAGTCCCATTAATTATGAGAAGTAGGTCCTTAAATATTTTAGCTCAAAAGTGAACAAAATATTATTACCTCCGTCCCGCTAAGATTGTCCCGTTTTACCATTTCAGTCCGTCCCACTAAGTTTGTTCCATACCAAATTTGGCAAAGTTTGTGTGGCTCTAAATCATTCTTGCTTTATTCTTACTTTATCAATTCAATATTAACCACATGACCATTTTTTATTAATTTGCGTGTCACTTCCTATTGTCCCATTGTTAGTGGAACGGAGGAAGTAATTTGTAAGCCATGTTCCCAATAATCTCCTCAAATGAATGGGAAATTGGCTTAACACATTAACAAATGAGGTTTGACAGAGGAAGATGGAAACTCTGCATAGGATTAGGTAGTCGTGAAACTTTGAACCTATCTTAGTGTATATATATCCATCGGATTTACTGGACAATCAGTGAGCAATTTGCTTTGAACCATCAGCCATAGCGTAAGCTTAGACAATGAATAACGCACAGATCCCCGAATGCATCTTTAGTTCTCACGTTTGTGTTCGTTTCGGCCTTGAACACCTCATGGTTCAGCTAGTGTTTTAGAAAGTTATCGTGTTCCGGAGAATTTGTCTCGTACCATAGACTCTCATAGAAGTTGCCTTCTTCCACCAGCATAGGTGATCTCTATCGAATGTACCATGTCATACCTTACTTGATGGAGAAAGTTAAGGGGGCATTAAGACTTATTTGGGGTAGTACTCAACTTAAACTGCAATAACGTGCTAATGTGAAATCTAAGTGTTAGATATTGTGTTTTTCCTTAAAATTTGTCTATTCATTAGAGAAGCACTTATAAATTAATTTATGTGTTTCTTAGAAATAAGTACTATTTCCCTACTTTTTTGAAAGAAACTTGTAATTATATTATAGAACTGAATGAGATAGACATCATGGAGAAACTTTGCAACGTGTTAGTATATTTCGATAACCTACCGAAAAGAGTACATGAAAAGGGTTGAAATTGTCTTATTCACAATGCATGTGGTAGCATATTTGCAATTTGTGAAAGTTCACTCATTTTCCCCCAACATTTAGTCAATAATTTCATCATATCAGGCAACTCATAAAGGCCTCATATTGAGATAAGTAAATTTAAGTCGTTCAAATAATATGCAGTTTTCAAACGCCCATCTATAACCACTGCGCACATAAAATCGCTCTTAATTGATTGATTCCGCATGCCTTTAGAATTTCAACATAGCTCCAGGGAGAATCGACACTCAATTTCACCTCTTTGATGACTTGAACTAAAGACCTCCCACATGGAGAGGATCTTAAGTGCGGGGTGTAATCCACTTTGATCACTCCAACGTCTCATACAACAGTGTAAATGGGAAAGAAGTAAACTTAAGTCATTCAAATAATCTTTAAAATTGTTAAGGCCCGGGGTTCCATCCTAAAAGGTCAACCTAATAGGAGGAGTAGCCCAAAGCCTTATATAGTGTTTAATTGTTTTATAGCTTTCCGGTGTGGGACAAATGCTTCAACACGCCCCCTCAGCCCGAACCAGGCTGGACAATATCGGGGTGTATAAACGGGCCAAACAAACCCTTAACAAGCTACCCTTAATCATGGGTGCTGAACAAGCCGTCAAACCACAACCGGAATTGGCTCTGATACCATGTTAAGGCCCAGGGTTCCATCCTAAAAGGTCAACCTAATAGGAGGAGTAGCCCAAAACCTTATATAGTGTTTAATTGTTTTATAGCTTTCCGGTGTGGGACAAATGCTTAATCATTCCAGAGTGTAATTGTCAACATTGAAAAAGTGATCAAATATATAAACGCGTTAAATTGATTAAATATAATAAAAGTTTCATTTTCATATATGCTTGTTTGTCTTACAAAAATATATCTATTTCGTCACTGCTAACATCTTATGAGGCTGCTTTCCTTTACTCCCCATTATCGATGTTAGAATTCAATAATAATCTTATAATTCACTAGATCTTTTATTTTTAGTGAACTTAACCCTTTTTTAGTGTAATCATAAAATGAAAAACGCAAAAGCTTCATTTAAATTTCGATTTGTGTGTGTCAATCTTGTCAGGGGCCATGCTTTTCTCTATATTGTTCCAATTTTATCGGATTTTCCGGGAGGGACAAGTTTCATCTACATCTATCAAAATGACGTGCTTATCAATCTATTAATAACAAGTAAATTTTCACTAGGATAACTAGTAATATGCGAGAAAATTAGTGTAAGAGGCTATGGATCCATTTCAATGGCCAACCAATGAGGGATTGGCATATTAAAGTTTAAAAGTCGTTTTCAAATATAATTAAAGTCAATGAATGAATTTTTCACGAAACTCTGTTTGGTAAACGAGTTGACTACTCGGGAAGATTCCACTTCATGGAATCAATGTGGCTCGCCACATAAAATAGCAAGCGGTCTTTTTGGGCCATTCGTAATTCAACATCTAATTACAAGACATCTTGTCTCGAATATAAAGGTTGCAAAAAGTCGAATAACATCTCATGTTCACTGTGTGAATAAATATTTTACCTTTTCATTCATATTGATAGTTGGACGTATAATACATCTTATATTTTTTTAATTGCAACAATTTGACTTTCAAATTTTCCAACGCATGACTTTAACCATTATTATATTTAATTGGCTACTTGCAAAAGTAATAAAATACATATTTGAAATTTACATTGAAAAAATTAAATAATTTGTCTTAAATAATTTGTTTAATTTATTAATAAATAAAATATAGTTAATGTAGAGTGAGTAAATAGTACCACGTATATAAATCTCAAAGTGTTGCAACTATTAAAGAACAAAGTTAGCATATGATAGTGAACATTTATTATAAATAAAATTTTGAAATAAAAAGATGTCAAATAACCAATCAAATCATGTTCCTGATAATTACTCAATATTTTGAAATGCAAAATAAAGCCTTTGTCCTAAATTATGTTCTCACTTTTCTTTTTAATTCATTCAAAAGTGATTTTATATTTTCTCTATTTAAGATGACAATAAGAAAATTATACGTAGTATGTTAATATCATTGTGGAAAACGTCTACAACACTCCTCATTTATCTTGGCTTAAGACATGATATAAAAAATGATCTCTAGCTCATCACGTGCCTACCACAACACCCTCTTTTATCTTCTTTATTTTTCTTATGTTTTTATTTCTTTTATCCTTTTTATTTTATATGCCCCCTCCGTATTTTAAAGATTGTTAAATATGGCTTTGACACATTATTTAAAGAAAAAGGTATATAGTAGGGTAATGAATAACATAGAAAATGTAAAAAGGATTTGAAACATAAAATATCACCAAGCAAAATGTTATTTGTTGGAGAAGCAATAAATGGTTTACAATATTCTTTTTCTTCTGAATAATCACCTAAGTAGCAGTAAAACAGGAAACGAGAAACAGATAACGTGAGAAATGTAATTTCTACAAAATATAGGATACAAAATGTGAGGGAAACATGTAAACATTAAAACATGGACATGCTTATATATTTTTTCAAATATGCACACGGTTTTTTTTCATTTATATATAAATATATGCACGTGATTTTTTCATAACTTGTTTGATTACCCAATAGGAAAACATTCTACATGTTCAAATTTAGAAATCATTATATATTACTACCAAAGATAGATAAACTATGAACTATCAATCCGGATCTTGAAAAATGAAATATATCGGTATAGGACACGAATTATTGACAACTATCAATTTAAGACCTAAATTTTCATAAAAATATTTTTTTTAATTGTAATTATTATTTTATTATATTAAATAATAAACTTTTGTGAAGAAAATTTCATCAAATATTAGCAACAGAGTTAATAAAAAATTAAACAAATCAAGATCGGCTTCGATCGGCGACCAAGACGGGAAAGAGACTGCTTCGATCGATATTAGCTAAATGTTCGTGAAGTAATTTTTGAATTGAAGGCGGTCGTCTCCCCTAGGGTTAAGGGTTGTTTTTCTACGCTTTCGTTTTCAACGAAGTGCGGCTTTCGTCCGCCTTCTGTGAGACTCTCTTCTTCGGCAGATCGCAGCGCCTATATGGCGGCCAAAAGTTTTGTATCCCTAGCAACAGGTGGAGAGGTTCGAGGATGTCGTTCACGGTTGAGATCAAAAGGTCATGGACGAAGCGTGGGGCTAGGGGCTGGATCACATCTGGATCAGAGGCAAGGAGCGGAAGATGCTTCGGTACTGTTGGACCGTCCCCCTCCTGAACCGCCGTCATGGAGTGCAGGAGAATTTAGAGTTTGGAAGCAGTATTTTAATTTTATTGTTTGCTTGCTTTTTAATTTCCATGGTCAGACTGTTCTGTTTTACTTTTATTTTTTCATTTGTTGTAAAACTCTTGCATTAGGTTTGGGGGATGAGAGGTCTACGGTAACCGTCATTGGCTATATGTTGCCGAAATTTGGTCTAGTGGGTTATATTGCTTTGTCAAAGGTGATTAACTCAAAGTCTCAACCAAGGGCGGATGGTTACATGTGGTCCTTTTGTTATCTTGTACCCCTACAAGCCTGCTGAATGCTATTTCATTAATTTTTTGCCCCCTTCGATAAAAAAAAACAAATCAAAACCTTTGAAACGGGAAAGGTGAGCCATGGAGAGTTTCTATGTTTCATAGGTAATCACTAAAGTGGTCCTCCTCAATGTCCACGGATCTAGCAGAACAATTTAGCAGGAAAAACATAATCCTTGAGAAGAGGAAGTTTTTCTGACAACTTAGGAAGTTATTTTCCTTTTCACACTATCAAAAATCAAATTTAATAATCTCAAATTTCCCATTGATGTTCTTTTATCACCAAAAGTGGCAACTTTGATAAACTTATATATACCTTCTTGGTATTGGGATCTTAATATATCTCTTTTCTCTTATCTATCATAGTGTGGTGTAATCTTGATTTTGGGGGTCAAGAGACACAAAAAAAGAATGGAAATATTTAGCGGGGATAGGGTTACACTCTTGTGCTTCTTTCTGTTGCTCTGTTCCTTCACACCGGAGACAAAAGCATCAGCAAACACAGAAGCCCAGGCTCTGATCAAATGGAAGAACACCCTCTTGATCTCATCTTCTTCTTTACTCAATGCATGGTCACTTTCCAACCAGGCACACAAATGTGAATGGTTCGGCATAGTCTGCAATGTTGGAGGAACAGTTTCTGAGATCAGCCTTCCTCATTCAAACCTCTCTGGGACTCTTGATCAGCTCAACTTCGTTTCTTTTACAACCCTCAAACATTTCAACATCAGTGGGAACAACTTCACGGGACCAATCCCTTCCGCCATTGGAAAGTTGTCGTCCAGCTTGATTTCCCTGGACTTGAGCAGAAACAACTTTTATGGAATCATACCGCCGGAAGTTGGAAACTTGAAGGAGCTTGAGTACCTCACCCTTTTCAACAACAACATTGTTGGTGTCATTCCTTATCAGATTGGAAATCTTCAGAAGGTATGGTTCATGGACATGGGACAAAATTTCTTGGAAGCTCCTGACTGGTCTAAATTCAATAGCTTTCCTGATCTGGGACATCTTAGTTTCTATTATAATGAATTAAGGTCAGGGTTCCCTGAATTTATACTGGGTTGCAGAAACCTGAGTTTTCTTGATCTGTCCTTGAACCATTTGAATGGAACAATCCCGGAGTCTTTGTTTACGAATATGGAGAGGATTGAGCATCTTGATCTCTCCCAAAATGAATTAACAGGGTTTTTGTCTCCAAACATTGGGAAACTATCAAAGCTTAAGAATCTGAATTTGTTCAACAATTCATTTCAAGGAAAGATACCATCAACAATAGGCCAACTCAAAGGTCTTCAGGTCTTGGATATTCGGATGAACCGCCTGGATTCAAACATTCCTTCTGAGCTTGGTCTTTGCACTAACCTTACTTACTTGGCTCTGGCTGCAAATTCACTCTCTGGTGTCTTGCCTTCATCCTTGTCATCCCTGACCAAGTTGTCTGACTTGGGGATTTCGGATAATTTTCTTTCAGGTGAAATTCCACCATATTTCATGTCCAACTGGACCGCCCTAACATCTTTGCAGCTTCAGAACAATTCCTTCAATGGGAGAATTCCATCCGAAATCGGTTTGTTAAAAAATCTCCAATACCTCTTCTTGTACATGAATCAGTTTTCAGGCATGATTCCACCCCAGATAGGAAATTTACAAAATTTAGTCTATTTAGACCTGTCCGGGAATAACCTTTCTGGTCCTATGCCTAAGACAATTGGAAACCTCAAAAACCTCTCTGTCCTAAGCCTTTTCACCAACAAACTCAACGGGGCACTTCCGGCAGAGATTGGCAACCTGACATCAATCACTTCTCTTGATGTTACTGAAAACCTATTCAGTGGAGAGTTGCCCCAGAGCATCTCAACCCTTAGTAAATTGGAGATCCTTTATCTTGCTAGAAATGCTTTCACAGGCAAAGTTCCTAGAGACTTGGGCTCACACAGTCCCATGTTGTCAAATGTTAGCTTTTCGCTTAACAACTTTTCTGGAAGACTGCCACCTAAACTGTGTCAAGGTTTAGCTCTTCAATACCTGACGACAAGATGGAACCGCTTCAGAGGGAAGTTGCCTGCTTGCTTGAAGAAATGTTCCAAACTGGACACGCTAAGGCTAGACGGAAACAAATTCTCAGGGGACATCTCACAAGTGCTTGGAGTGCACCCAGTTCTTGATATCCTTTCCCTGAAAGTGAACCGATTCAGCAGCCAAATTCCTTCTAATTGGGGAGAGTATAAGAAGCTCACTAAGCTGGGAATTTCAGGGAACAGGGTCTCGGGTCGCATCCCTTCCGAATTAGGGCAGCTGTCTAACCTGCACACTCTCACCTTGGATGCAAATGAGTTAACGGGTGGGATTCCGTCTGAGCTCGGCAATCTACGCGCGCTGCGGACTCTCAATCTCAGCAAGAATCACTTGACTGGCCAAATTCCAAACAATGTGGGAAATCTAACACGCCTCCGGAATCTGAGTTTATCACACAACACCCTCTCCGGTGGACTCCCTTCAGCTTTATCGGGTATGATCAGATTGCAAACGATAGATTTCTCATACAACCAACTATCCGGTCCAATTCCTAACAAGGGAATATTCCTCCAAGCGAAAGCTGCAGCCTTTATTGGGAATCCCGGTCTATGTGGAAATGTAGGACTTCCCATCCCGCACTGTAACAAAACAGGGTGAAAAAGAAGCCAGGGGTGCTGGCTTGCTGATTACGACTCCATTGTTATTGCTACTAGCCTACTACTATTACTTAATCTTCCTTGTTGTGGTTCTATCTTTCCTTCTCAGTTTCAGATCCTTGTAAACATCTTTGATTTCAATAAACATCTTTGATTACTTTTGCTTCTCACTCACAGTTTTTGAACACATAAAGATCTGTTGTAGCTGCTGCACCTCTCTCACAACTTTAATTCGTTACCATAATATCGTTCTCAGCCTTGGACAAGTGATGAAATTGAGCAGCCCCAAACAATGCCTGCATGAGAGAAAGTTTGATTTTAGATACAGACTCGTCAATATTGCAGACAAAGCCCACTCATGCATAAAGGTGCCTTACGTTGGAAAATAACTTTTATTAATGTCTTCTGATTATTGTGATTGTGGTTCTTAATATTCCGCATCTATTTTGCATCTGATGACCCGTATTATGTCTTTGTTTGCAAAGAGAAGAAAACTTTTATTTATTGGAGACTTTGAAAATTCACAAAGATAATATTATCAATATATAGACTTCACAAAAATAGTGGAGGAATCTTTCAGAAATCAGAAGCATCATTATTTTTCTATCATATGTACCTTTTCAATCCTTTTCCCGTTTCAGAAATCATTATTTGTGAAATCATATGTTTCATCCCTCATTCTCTGTGTGATTTCTTGCCTTTTCTCGTTTATATTTTTCCAAGGATGTAGCTATATGAGTTGGTTCAATTGAGTCACTCACGCCAGTGTTCTTGTTTCATTTTTTACTCCGTATTATTTGACTCATTTTCATTTTAGAAATTTTTGGATTACTTTTTCATATTTTATATGAAAAAATGGCACGCGTATGACCTCACCACTTTTCAAAGACAAAATTAGAATGGATTTGAGTTTTTACATAAATGTGACTTAAGGGACGTTTCCCTGCGACTAGCCAACGAAGAGACCGTCCAGCGCGAAACAGCCAACATGCCGCCGATGTCTTCGTCCTTCGCATCTCAACGCTTCGCATCTTCATCGCACCTTGCCGGTTGTCTCATCGACGTCGTCACCTGTGGTCCTCTCAGAATCCCCGACCTACTGCCGTCAAATCCACAACGCCGCCGCCGCCCTGTAATCGTCGATGTGAAGCCGCGCCGCCATCAAATCCACAACGCTACTTCCATCAAATCCACAACGGAAGATTGGACAATCGTCTTTTTCCTCTCTTCTTCTTGCGGATCATCATTTTTCTCTCCCGGATCTGACGAAATTTCTCTTCTGCGCTCCACCATTTCCAGATCTGACAAAAGTCCTCGCAGAATGTCATTTTCCATCTCTGTCGCGGTCCCCATCTTCTCCTTTCTTCTAGGGTTCGGTCTGGCTACAATTACGTTTGAGGTGGTAGTGGACGGTGTTGGGTGACGGTTTGGTTGGGGTCGGCGGCGCAGGGAGCTGGGATGGTTGTTGAGGGGGCAGGAAGGGTCATGGAAGGGACTGGGATGATTGTGGAGGGGGTTGGGATGGTTGGGGAGGAGGCTGGGAAGGTCGGAGAGGGGGTTGTGGGTGGTGCAGCGACGATGGTGTGGGGTGAGCACAGACGGTGACGGTAGTGTGGGGTGGACAGTGGTGGTGGTGTGGGGCAGGGGAGTGGAGGACATTGACGGTGGTGTGGGTGGGAAATTGGCGGTAGTGCAAGGTCGGGTTGTCTAGGAGTTGGGGAGTTGTCAGCGGAGTGGTGGTGGGAGCTGATCGGAGGACAGTGGTCGGAGGCCGGCGGTGGCAGCTAAAGTTACGCGGGCGGCGGCTAAAGTGACACAGGCGGCTACAGTGACACGAGAGGTGGCTACAGTGACACGGTCGGTGGCTACAGTGACACGGCGGTGGCTACAGTGACACGGGTGGTGGCTACAGTGACACGGGCGGTGGCTACATTGAGACGGGCGGTGGTTGTAGTGACACGGGCGATAGCTACAGTGACACGGGCGGTGGTTGCAGTGACATAGGTGGTGGTTGTAGTTACAAAAAAATGAACACACAGTGACATAAATTTTTTCATGTTTTCTAATTGCACATATATGACCTTCGTGATCACTTTTTTGCCCCTTTTTAAAAGTGGTCACTTTTTGGGTAATTGGTTCAAAATTAGTAATATCCAAGTAAAAACCCCATTTTATATTCTACGTTTTTCACTTTTCTTTCTCTATCCTAACTTTTCTCATTTTCTTCCATACTTTTTATCTTTTTAATTCATACTTTTTCTACCCTACTCATTAACTTTATTATTTTCTTTAATCTCCATGGAAAACATTTAATAGCATTTATTCAAGGATGGGAGAGAGTAATATATACAGTTCTATGTATTCTGCCATACAAAGGTATTGTCTTTTTAATACCATATTAATATATCGCCCCCTTCTTTTCTCATGGGGCTGCCACCTCATTTAATTAAATCCTGGGGTTAAGATATTTTATTAAGGCCCTACTTATCTTCTTATCTCTTACAATCTAGCCATTAGGTAGAAAGAGTGTAAGGCTTTGTACCCACTTGCTTACTTGCTTAGCAAGTGGATGTTTGTTTCCCACTTGTTGGTTGTTAAAACTTGTAAGATCCAGAGTCTTTAAATGTTGCAATATGATGAAATAAAAATTAGCAAGCTATTATCAAAAACTCTCTTCTTTCTCTTTACGTTTTCTCTATTCTTTGCATTCTTGCTTTTAGTCTAACACACAAAATTCCTACAATTGGTATCAGAGCACTTTGAGTGATCTTTGAGAGGATGTGAGGTGAGTGAAACACGAGTAAAAGTGAGGAAAACAAACCGAGAAAAGAAAGGGAAAGTGTTGATGGCTGAATCAAAAGGTTTCACCATTGCTCCTATTTTTGCAGGCCAAAATTACAATATTTGGGCTGTGAAGATGGAAGCTTTTTTGAGAGCTCATGATTTATGGGATGTTGTAGAAACAGATGTAGATCCAGAGCCCTTGAGAGCAAATCCCACAATTGCTCAAATGAAGCAACACTCTGATGTTGTTTCGAAGAAATTCAAGGCAATGTCTTACCTCCATGCAGCCTTAAGTGGAGATATTTTTGTCAGGATCATGACAAACAAAACAGCAAAGGGAATTTGGGAAAAACTTGCTCAAGAATTCCAAGGAGATACTAGGGTCAAAGGAATGCAGATTCTCAATCTCTGAAGGCAGCTTGAAACTCTCAAAATGAGAGATAATGAACTGGTGAAAGATTTTTCTGATCGAGTACTGAAGGTTGTTACTCAAATGAGACTACTTGGAGAAGATGTCACTGATAAGAGAGTTGTGGACAAGGTGATGTGTTCTGTTCCAGAAAAGTTTGAGCTCAAGATTAGCTCGCTTGAGGACAGTAAAGACATGTCAACCTTCTCTCTCGCAGAATTAGTCGGTACACTTCAAGTCATTGAAGATAGGCAAATCATGAGGAATGAAGGCTCTGCTAAAGGAGCCTTGCTTGTTCAATCCAAAGGAAAGCAACCAAGGCAGGTTTCCTTTTATGAAAAGAAAGACAGAAAATTTCAGCTCGGAAACTCTAGCAAAACAAGAGGGAAAAGAGCTACTTATCCTCTTAGCCCTCACTGCAAAAGAACAAACCACAGTGCTGATTATTGTTGGGTCAGACCTGGTGTGCAGTGCAAACAATGCAAAAAGTCCGGGCATGTTCAGAAAATCTGTAAGTTCAAAAATGATCGACAACAAGCTCAGAATGCTGAAGAACAAGAAGAGGCGGAAGAGAACCTTTTCATGGCTTCAACAGTTCAAAGAGGCTTGGTGAATCATCCAAAATCTGATTCATGGTTGATAGACAGTGGTTGCACAAACCATATGTCTCCTGACTTGAGTATTTTCAAGTTCCTTGATGAGAACTATCACTCAAGAGTGAAAGTGGGAAATGGTGAATTTCTTCTAGTCAAAGGAAGAGGCACTGATGCAATCAAAACTAGTTCAGGTACTAAAGTTCTTCAAGACGTGCTTTATGTGCCTAATATTGCTCAGAATTTGATTAGTGTGGGGCAACTGGTTGATGCTAGTTTCTCGTTGGCCTTCCATGATAATATTTGTGATATTAGTGACAAAAGTGGCGTGGTAGCTATGACTATTAAGATGCATGATAGAAGCTTTCCTTTAGAATTGAAGAATGCAGATCATGTAGCTTATCCTAGTGTAGTTTCTAAGTCAAAATTACTGCAAGGTTGGGTCATTGTAGCTACACAACTATGTCACAAATGCACAAGCATAGCATGGTTGAAAACATGCCTTCCGTTGTTAGTGAAGATGGCGTGTGTTGTGTTTGTGAGAAAGGAAAATCCAGCAGGAGTTCATTCAACAAAGATGGAGTGAAGAGGGCCAAAGATAAGCTGGAGCTCATTCATTTTGATATTTGTGGTCCTATGAGTGTTGAATCACTAAATGGAAGCAAGTATTTTTTATTGTTTATTGATGATTACAGTAGGACAACTTGGTGCTACTTTCTGAAGCAAAAATCTGAAGTGTTTAATCACTTTGTTGCTTTCAAGAAAGCAGTTGAAAAAGAAGCAGGGAAAGTGATCAAAGTTTTCAGAACTGACAACGGTGGAGAGTTTTGCTCTCATCAGTTTGAATCTTTTCTGAAGGATCACGGCATAGTTCATCAGAAAATCAATCCTTACACTCGTCAACAAAATGGTGTAAGTGAAAGGAAGAATAGAAGTGTGATGAATATGTCCAGATGCTTGATGTTTGAAAAAGATCTTCCGAAACAGTTTTGGGCTGAAGCAGTCAACACCGCAGTATATTTACTCAACAGAATCTCTACCAAGTCTTTAGACAACAAGACTCCATATGAAGCTTGGTCTGGTTACAAACCCAAACCAGATCACTTGAGAGTGTTTGGCAGTCCATGCTACACTCATGTGCCTGATGTGAAGCGAGACAAGCTTGATGCTAGAGCTATGGGTGGTATTTTTATTGGTTACAGTTCTGTTACAAAAGGCTATAGGGTGTTTAGTTTGAAAACCAAGAAGATGGAGGTGAGTAGAGATGTCAGAATAGATGAAGGCTTGAAATGGAATTGGGAGAAGATGGCAATAGAAGAAGATGATCAATTTGATGATGTTCTTGAAGCTGCACAACCTGAAGATGCACTCAAAGATGCTGAATCCGAGCGCATTGATCATGTCCAATCAGAGGAACTAGATCTTAAATGATGTTTATGCAAGATGCAATCTCTCACTTCATGAGCCGACTAGCACTGATGAGGCGCTTGAAAGAAGTTTGGAGACATGCTATACAGGATGAAATTTCAGCAATTGAAAAGAATGAAATGTGGAAGCTTGTCAACCTACCCGCTAAAAAGAAAGCAATTGGAGTGAGATGGATTTACATAACCAAGTTCAATCCTGATGGCACTATATCCAAATACAAAACCAGACTTGTTGTCAAAGGGTATGCTTAGAATCCTGGTGTTGATTACTTTGAAACATTCTCTCCTGTTGCAAGAATGGAGACCATCAGACTGCTTCTATCATTAGCTGCACAGCAAGGATGGAAGGTATGTCACTTAGATGTCAAATCTGCTTTCTTAAACAGCTTCTTGCAAGAGTATATTTATGTTGAACAACCTGAGGGTTATGTTGTTGCTGCTTCTGAAAGCAAGGTCTACAAGCTGAATAAAGCTCTTTACGGCTTAAACAAGCACCTAGGTCCTGGTATGATACACTTGCTTGAAATGGAGTTTGAGAAGAGTAAAAGTGAAGCCACGCTATAAGTGAAGGAACACAATCAAGATATCTTGATAGTTTCAGTGTATGTGGATGACTTGTTAATCACTGAAAGCTCCGTGAAGACGATAGATGAGTTCAAGTCAGAAATGAAGAAGAAATTTGACATGAGTGACTTGGGTTTAATGTCCTATTTCTTAGGACTTGAAGTTGTACTGTGGAATTCTGATCCATCAAAGGAAGTTTGCTACTGAAGTGTTGAGGAAGTTTGCTATGTCAGAATGCAAGCCAATTGGGACACCATTGGCGACCGGTCAAAAAAAATTCAAAGAGGATGGCACTGAGAAAATTGACAGCAAAGTTTATAGAAGCTTGATGGGGAGCTTGTTGTACTTAAGTGCATCATGGCCTGATCTTGTGTTCTCTGTTAACCTACTCTCTAGGTTCATGCACTCTCCAAGTGAGCAACACTTCAAAGCAGCAAAAAGAATTCTCCGGTATGTGCAAGGCACTGCAGATTATGGCGTGTTTTATGGCAAAAATCCAGTTAATCTAATTGAATTAGATTAACTGATAGTGATCTTGCTGGCTCTGATGAAGAAAGCATAAGCGTGTTTGGCTACTGTTTCTCTCTTGTTTCAGGCATGATCAGTTGGAAGTCAAAGAAGCAATCTAATCAACTGTTGAAGTTGAATATATTGCAGATTCCAAAGGAGGAAATCAAGCTGTCTGGCTAAGAAAAATTCTCGTTGATTTGAAATTGGAGCAAAAGAATGCAACTGTGATGTTCTGTGACAGCAAAGCCGTCATTGCCATCATCAAAAATCTAGTGCTTCATGATAGAACGAAGCATTTCAAAATCAAGTTTCACTTAGTAAGGCAGTTGCAAAACGAAGGTGAAATTGATCTACAATTTTGCTCATCCGAAGAGCAAACTGCTGATGTACTCACCAAGGTTCTGCCAAAACACAGGTTTGATGTTTTGTGTGAACAACTTGGAATGCGAAGACTTAGCTCCATGGGGGAGTGTTGACGCCAGTGGTCTGGTAACTCAAAAGAATGGAGCAAAAAGTCTATCTAAATTCATATGTTAAGATATTTTTATTAAGGCCTTACTTATCTTCTTATCTCTTACAATCTAGCCACTAGGTAGAAAGAGTGTAAGGCTTTGTACCCACTTGCCCACTTGCTTAGCAAGTGGATGTTTGTTTCCCACTTGTTGGTTGTTAAAACTTGTAAGACCCAGAGTCTTTAAATGCTGCAATATGATGAAATAAAATTTAGCAAGCTATTATCAAAAACTCTCTTCTTTCTCTTTACATTTTCTCTATTCTTTGCATTCTTGCTCTTAATCTAACACACAAAATTCCTACAACCCTTCCTTCTCCTTACATACACTTCGGTAAAATATCTATTGTCAAGGTAGAACTCCCCTATCATCACTCCCCTCCTAATCTACCAGCTTATCCTCAAGGTGGAACTCAAGAAACTGCTTCTGAAATCTATTCAGATTATCCCATGAGTCCTCAAAATGGATGAGATAGATCTATTTTTACATACTTACATTGTAGTATGAAAAAAGGGAAGAATTGGAGATATGTGAGAATTGTTATTGATGAATTTTTTGATACATGAAACTGATTTTCAGCACCATATTTATAGCTTAGATGGATTATTCTAGACCTCTAGGAATATTTTAATACGAGAAGTCTAGGAGACCTCTAGAACAATCTTAAATAATCAGGCTGCTTCTATGAAAAAGTCCCATGCTTCAACACTCAGACTTTTCTGGTGTAACACCGAACTTGAACCTAAGGAACTCAAACTTGCCTTTTAGCAAGGCTTTAATTAAGATGTCTGCAAGCGCGTAACTTAGAGGGGCATTGAGCAAGTTTCACTTATGTTGTTGCGCGTCCCGAAGTGCATAAAAACTGACTTTCATGTGCTTTGTCTCTGAAACAGACTGCATTTTTTGAGATAGAAATGGCTGACTTGTTATCAACTAGGATTATAGTAGCTTCATCTTGGTTGTAGCTTAAATCTGCCAGTGTTTTCCTAAGCCATGTTGCTTGATGCTGTTGAGGTTGCCACATACCCGGCTTCAGCTGTGGACTGAGCAGTTACATCTTGTTTCTTAGAATTCCATGAAAACACTCCCCAGCCAAAAGAGAAATCATACCCTGAAGCACTTTTCATGTCATCGACCGAACCTCCCCAATCACTATCTGAAAATGCTATCAACCTTGCATCCGAGCAAGGTTGGTAAAATACTTTAAACTCTAAAGTGCCTTTTATGTACCTGAGTGCTCTCTTTGCAACACCCATGTAATGATGTGAACCTCACTTGGCACATCCCTAAGTGGAACCACGGATATGATATATATAGAGGCACCACATCCTGTCAACTATGTCACCTGGAAAACCAGTTCTATCAATCAGTAAGTGCACTACGATTTGTGAGAGACTGTGTGTCTGTCAGTCTGTGCATGAAGATATAAGAGAAAGAGCATGCAGCATAGAAGAACTAACATTCTTTAAGCTCCTTTCCATCCTTGGAAAACCTACAAGAGATGCAAGCAAATGTATCCACTAAGAGCAACATCCAAGTCGATAATAATAATAATTATCATTATTATAAAATTAACTATAGCAATAACAATACTAATGATACAGTAGTAGTAGTGATGATATTGAAGAAAGCTGAAAACTAAGAAGTGCAAATTAACACATATATAATATAAAAGTAGAAAGTGAATGAGTAAAAGTGTATGAGTACGTACGTAGGTACTTACGTACGTAGGTAAGTACGTATATGGGTAAGTACGCGCGTGTGTGAGTGAGTAAGTAATTGAATGAATACATGCGTAAAAACCTTGTCAATGATGAGTCTCCTCTCAAGTGACTCTCTAGTTCCCTTATATAAGATTTAAACAGAAGAGACCTGCATGAAAATAGGGAAAATGGGAAAATATGGTAACCAATTTCTGCAATTTTCTTTTACTGCTTTTCGATTTTCCAATTCTGAAATCAGAACACATGTTAACCAATATTTATCTGTTATCTATTTTCATTTCCCAACCATAAGTTATGTTGTCTGTTATGTGTTTTCAACAACCCAGATTTTAAAATAATAAAGTATGTAGAACTGAAGGCGAAAATTAGACAAAAAGATGAGTAAAAATATACACGCTTTGGGTAGGTCTGAAATAAACTTCACACTTCTGTTTTTGCCTTTTTGGTAACTTTTTAATATAAAGTTACCCTTATACCCTTACTTTATTACCTACTTTACACCCACTTTCTCTCTCCCACTACACACAATCTACTTTTTGTAAGTGCATGATGAAAAAGTCAAAAGCAAAAATCCATTTTCTCAAAAACTGTAAAGTCAAACTGTGAAGTTTATTTAGGACCGGAGGGATTATTAACAACTTCATCATTGCAAGGAGTCAAAACCAGGTTTCCATCAATAAATATCACGGAGTAGTTCTTTTACCATCTCACCTATAAAAACAATTTGAAACACTAAGTGTTGAATCTAATTTATACATTTATTTTACAAGATAATAAGTGAAACATTATGGGTTGATTATTATTAATATTATTACATTGCAATTATTATACTATTACATTATTAGTATTGTTATTTATATTATTTATCATTTTGTTATTGTATTCGTGTACTATTATAGCATCATCATCATTATTATTATAATAAAAAACTACAAAGTACTACATATTATTATATCACTCTTATTTGGATTTGATTTGGGGTTAGATTCTCTTATATGTGTGTGTAACATTGTTTAATTAATTAACAACTAAATAATGTATTCATCATCATCATTACCCCAGTGCCACAAAGGCTCCCACATTATTTAATTAACAACTAAATAATGTATTATAATAAAATAATGTATTCAATATATAAATAATAGGTTTTTTTAAATATTATCAAAATAAAACTTATTTACAGGAATATAACTAATAGTTACTACAATGTAGTGTCATGGTAACTTAAGTTCAAAAATTGTACATATGTTACCATGATGCCATTACTACTCTAGCCACTAGTCACTTTTTTAAAACACTCTTTATTTTAGTCATAAATATGTAATTATTTCTAAATAATACTACATATATAACAATACATTATTATAGGAAAAATTTAAATCAATAATCTCAACTATCCATGGTCTTCTTATATTAATCTCAGTTGTTTGGTTGATAGGAACCCATTAGTATAATAATACTAATAATAATAGAAGTATAATAGATAATTGTGATATTGTAGTAAAGGGTCCTGGGCTAGGTATTAGTTAATATTGGGCTGACCCATAAGTAAGTATAAATAGTAGGGAGGGGGAAATAAGAAGGCAGGCAAGTATTTGTTGGATTTGGCTTGGCTAGGAGATTGGGCATCTCGAATTGTCCCTTGCTTTGTATACATCTTCCGGTTCTTCTCCAATCAATAAACATACTTCGATCTCTTTTCTGCATAATTTCTCTGGATCTGTTATTGTTTTGCTTGATTACTACCAGTGACCTATCATTGGTATCAGAGCAAGCTTCCTGGAGGCAGAGAATCGAATCATCGAGCATATCAGAGCAAATCGCTCTTGGAGTCTTATTGATCGTCGCATCTTTATCGCAGAAGAGGATAAGTATTCGCGAAGCTGAGACACGAACGAACCAAGATGGAACAACGATTGGAGGCCGCTGAACGTGGTTATGTCGCGATAGAAGAAAGTTTTCTGCGAATGGAAGCAAAGATGGAAACAGTGATGGAACGGATAACAAGAGAGATGGATGCGATGATCGATGAAATCCGCGAGAGTAGGAGGTCGCGATCTCATCATCGTCATCAATCGCGAACTGTTCCTCTCAGTTCGCAAACGTCAATATCGGTTTCCAGTTCTAAATCTTCCTCGCGAAGTGTTTATCCTCACTCATCTTCATCGCAAGTCGGCTACCTCATCAGTTCGCAGAAACCTTCGCAATCGCGAACCGCATCTTCCAGTCTTCAGTCACGAACTTCCTCACACAGTCCGCAATTGCGAACTCCAACATCAGCCAGCAGTTCACGACGTAGTCCGACGCGATTGAGAGGAGAAGCTTCATCGCTAACAGTAGTTTCCAGCTCTCAGATGCGAACCATTTCTACCAGCTCGCAAATGGCATCTCAAGCGGCGTCTCACAGCGCTCTAGCTTCATCTCCAGCTGAGTTCTCCAGTTCGCAGACTGTGATGCAGTCAAGAGCCACCAGTTCTCAATCCCTTTGCTTATTCTTATACAGCTTCTCAACATGCGCAAGTTTCTCCGAAATTGAAATCTGAGTTGAAGTTGGTTTCATCAACACCTTCAGAACAGAGCGATGTTGACATTCTTCCAACGCCAACACTTTATCCCAGTTCGCCTCCAAGTGTGAAGCAAGTGACAGGAGATGTTCTAAGTTCGCAGATGACAGTCAACAAAAGCAAGATATACATGAACCAAGGACCCAGCCTAGTCAGGAGAGAGACAGAGATGCAGCTATTCAATGGTGAGGTAAGCTATGGTAGATCTTCGGAGCTAAGGCTTATGTCGGATGGTGTTCCTGGTGACCCTGGCAAAAAGGGAGGACAGGCAGAGCGTCTGGCATTAGAAATGCCTCAAGTTTCTATCCCTGATGTTCATTATGTTGCTGCCAGAAGGATAGGAACTTTCCAGAGCTCTGTTATTTCTTTTGCTCTCAGACCTTTGGCTGGAAAATGCAAAGATGATAAGGAAACACCTCATTTGGCAATTGATAGTAATGAATTTGTGCTCTCAAAATTCATTCCTGGAAAAATTAGGGGTGAGGTCAGGAACTCTTTAAACAGTACTTTCTGAGGAAGATAAATGGCACGGGGATGCAAATGTTATCAATATCAAGGTTGGGACCAATGGTGTTACAGGACTATCAATTGTGCCGAAAGGAGGCAGGGTTAACATGGTTTATAATCAAGAAATGGATGATGAACTTGCAGCAACAGACGGTGCATGCTATATCGGGAAGTAAAGTTCATACTGGCAAGGGTGCACAGACAACTTGTGTGCAGGAGCCTCCTGATATTTCATTCCTGATACAACCCTTTCATGCATCAAACCTGACTTTGGTGGGGCTGAATAAGACTGATGGTTTCAGATTTATTAGTGATACTTGTAGGAAGTATATTCAGAAGGGAATGGGGATTATGCTTGCTTGGAATTATACGATATGTGGTACTGTAAATGCCTTGAATGAAGGATTTCTGGACAACAACAAGTGTGCAACCATAATTGTGTATAACTGGGACGAGTTGGCAGACTGTGTCATTACTCTCCAGCAGTTAACAGAACAGCGGGTCCACACAGGGTTGAAGAATGCCAAAGCTTGGAGTTTTCATAATCACAAGTTCCTTCAACTCATCAAAGACATGGATACATTCATTGCTGGGAATGATGATTTGTTTCGGGAAAGTCCGGAAGCAACAATATCAAAGCAGTTAACTGTCACAGACAGAAAAGAACAGCAAAAGGAGCTATTGGTTGCTATTGAAGGCTTAAGGGGGACTGAAGAGAATAAAACTTCTCCAAACATAACTTCTGCAACAGAAACATCCTTCATTTTAAAGTTTCAAACATTGAAGCACATGGTCCAATCATCAGGGAGATACTGGGAAGGAAGAAGGTCCAGGATGAAGATGAAGTTCAAGATCAAGGCTGTGTCCTATCACCCACCTTGAGGACAAGGTGGTTTTTCAAGGGGGGAGATATGATAGGAACCCATTAGTATAATAATACTAATAATAATAGAAGTATAATAGATAATTGTGATATTGTAGTAAAGGGTCCTGGGCTAGGTATTAGTTAATATTGGGCTGACCCATAAGTAAGTATAAATAGTAGGGAGGGGGAAATAAGAAGGCAGGCAAGTATTTGTTGGATTTGGCTTGGCTAGGAGATTGGGCATCTCGAATTGTCCCTTGCTTTGTATACATCTTCCGGTTCTTCTCCAATCAATAAACATACTTCGATCTCTTATACTTCGATCTCTTTTCTGCATAATTTCTCTGGATCTGTTATTGTTTTGCTTGATTACTACCAGTGACCTATCATTGGTAATTCCAAGATAATCTAAACTATAGAGTATATCTTCCAATATTGAACCGGTGACCTGCTCAAACCCTTTCAACAGGTTACCTCGCCATGTGGCTTATTTTGATTGGACTTTTTTTGTTTTTTTTTGTTTTATTTCATTTTCTTCTTTTGTTTCCTTTTCTCTCTCCCCAGACCCCACCCGCCCGTTCTTTTCTTTTTTCTCCTCCTTCGGCGAGTCTGCTGAGTGCTCACAGACCTTCACCTTATTTTTTCTTCTTCCCACTCGATTCTCCTGTGCTTCTCCAACTTTGTTTTCTTCTTTTTTCTTACTGGGGTTCCATAGAATCAGAACAGGGTGGATGAAGTGGAAGAGTGCGTCAGGATTTCTATGTGATCGAGGTATGCCGACTAGACTGAAGGGTAAATTTTATAGGACAACATTTAGGCCTGCACTACTGTATGGCACGGAGTGTTGGGCGGTGAAACAATGTCACATTCAAAAGATGAGTGTGGCAGAGATGCGCATGCTGCATTGGATGTGTGGGCATACTAGAAAGGATCGTGTGAGGAATGAGACAATCAGACAAAGGGTGGGAGTAGCACCTATTGAAGATAAGATGCGGGAGTCGCTCCTACGATGGTTTGGTCATGTGCATAGAAGACCGATTGATGCACCTGTCAGACGAGTGGAGATGTGTGGAGAAGAGGCAGGGAAGAGAGGGAGAGGAAGGCCCAAAAAGACGTGGGCTAGGGGAGTCAGAAGTGATATGCTTCTTCTTGGATTGGATGAGAGTATGGCTTTGGAGAGAGCGAAATGGAGGGCGGGTATTCGTGTGGAGGAGTGATATTGTATCATCTTTTCCCCTCTTTTCTTCTTCTTTTTCTTTTTCTTTTATATTTTTATCCTTATATATAAACATTACTTTATCCTTTTTATTTTATCTTTTATATGTATATTCATCTCTTTTATATTATCTTTTTATAATAGCTTATCTTTTTTATCTTTATTTTCTTTCTTTTCTTTTGGGTGATATCATGTATCGATTCATGTTAGCCGACCCCAATATCGTTTGGGACTAAGGCTTGGATGTTGTTGTCTTACTGGGGTTCCATACTTCCATTGACCTCAAGAATAAATAGCAGCACTCGCCACACCAGTGGATTAGTGGAGCCGTTTTTTTTTTCCTTTTTCTTACTTTCCGATGACAGCTCTTCATTTCAAGCTTTGGTCAAAACTGTAAGGTAGTTTTTGGATACGAGCTTGGGTCGTCTCCCATGGTCATGAGCAATTCAAGAAACGATTTGAATTTAATGTTTTTGTTTCTAGTCGTCAGAACTCGGCCGGTGCTTCGCCGGAGAAGACCACCAAATTCCGGAGTAATGAAGTCTCTGATTTCACTGGACATTACTCATGGGTCCATTGTGCTTTATTGTTAGCGTCAATTGCATATGAATGAGATTCAAGAAGCTAAAGAAAAGAAGTTGTGAAAATGACAAAGAAGAACCGATATGGTTGCTGTGGATTAGAATGGGATTATGAAGAAGGGGTGAAAGGGAAAGTAGAAAACAAAATAGGAAAAAAAAAACTGGGAGGGGGGGGGGGGGGGTGACTGCTCATCTATGACATAGTCGACCAACATTTTTCTCTCTCTCTCTTCGTGGGTTTACCTGTTTAGTCGGTATCCAGTCAACTAGGATCAATATGAGAAGATAACATATGAAATTCATATTATTCTGGGATTAGACATATTTGGGATTAATATTAGAAGACTAACAATAGTTGGGATTAATGGTGTGAACTTTTCCTTAAATATATGTATTATATATTAGTATAATACAAAAAACTTCAACTGTTAAATCCATGTTTCTTTTTTTCAGCTTTTGACTGTATGCTTTGTTAAAAAATTCCACTAATATTACTCTTTTAAGAGTTACGGACAAAAATGTGACTTGGTAACTTTTAGTTACTATAATTATGTTCAAAGCTACTATGATGTAGTGACCATGATGTAAACTTTGAACATGATTATAGTAACTATAAGTTACCAAGTCACATTTTTGTCCATGACTTTTGTGTTAGTAATATTTTAGGAAAAACCTCTTCTTAAATTCTCTTGTAATCTACTTGTTATTAATAAATATGGGTAGTGTTCCCCGGCACTCCCGCCACCACGTGTGGTTATTTCCGGGAAGAAAAAAAAAAGTGTTATATATTAGTATTGGTTCTCTATTATATGTATATAATGTTATATTATTAACAAGACTAAAGGGTCAAATAGGCCCTTGAACTAACTTAAATTGTTCAATTAGCCCATTATATAGGAGGTTATGTACGACCGTCGCCAATTGGGGCGGTTTCCGGTGGAATTTTTTGATGAAATTTTTTGAGCATCTTCTTTATTAAGTCTAGTTTACCCATACCAAATTTCAGCTAAAAAATCAACCGGGAAGGCAGTCAAATGATTTTCCGAAATGTACTGTTCTGTTTAACTGCGCAGTTATCTTCAAAAAATCATTTGACTGCCTTCCCGGTTGAATTGTTAGCTGAAATTTGGTATGGGTAAACTAGACTTAATGAAGAAGATGCTCAAAAAATTTCATCAAAAAATTCCACCGGAAACTGTCGGCGACGGCCGGGCAGAACCTCCTATATAATGGACTAATTGAACACTTTAAGTTAGTTCAAGGGCCTATTTGATCCTTTAGCCTATTAATAAATATATTTTACATATAATAAATATGTAAAAAATGAACCGGAACAGCCGGTTCCGGTCCCCTATGACATATATTGGTACCTTATCCACCTCACCCCAAGCTGGTTTCTGTGCCTGGTTCTTTACCAGAGCAATTCCATGTCCAGTCCAGTTCCAGAATAGAACCACCCCCACCCCTATGTGTTACTGTAGCATCAAGTTCTCCATTTCTCATGATTCCGGAACAACTAAAGTGAGTTCTCCAAATTTTGAGAGAACGACTAATCTGAGTTCTCCAAATTTCGAGATATTGGAGATATTGTCAATCAGAGAATTAGTAGAAAAATATCTTTGTTATCTTATTGAATCTTTGTAATTAAGGCAAGATATCCCTGCACTCAGTGCCTAATAAAATCTTCCTATAATTACAAAGATTCAATAAGATAACAAAGATATTTTTCTACTAATTCTCTGATTGACAGATATTAGAAACATGTTACCATTTCTCTAATTTTGGAAAATAATAAAGTAAACACGTAAAAGGTCCTTTACAGTTCAATACTTTATACATAAAATCTAACCTCTAGTGTTTTCACACCCGTTTGACTAGGTTTTAGAATAACAAGTTTATAATAATAATAATAATAATAATAATAATAATAATAATGAACAATACCAGGAAGGAATTGCAAATGCTGCTAGTATAGGGGACAAATTCCACCAGATATGTAGCCTACTGCTTAGCCATCCCTCCAGAAACCTCACAACACTTTTATCCTAAATTAAGAGAGAAAAGCAAATGAAGGTCATGGTAATAATATGCCAATGAAGATAATTGTAGTAAAACATTCCTTGTATTACCAAAATGTTCACTGTTGAAATGGGGCATATTTTAAATGCCAATGAAGATAATATAATCAAAATCAAGAAAACTTTAAATATATACAGTTGTTTTGAATAATCATCGACTATATGAAGTCAAGAACGTGGAAAGAGTACCTTTGAACTCATCATATTATCTTTGCAGCAGATGTTTTTACAATGTCCAGCCATTAAGTTAAGCACCTCTTTGCATAGTTTTGATAAAGTAACAGGTTCATATGAGGTCGACATAAAATGTTTAATGAGAACTTCCCATTTTCTTGCAGCACATCCAAGTAACAAAAGCTCCTATTGGAAATTGACTTCGAAAGATTAAGAAATATTCTCTTCACCAAACTAAACAAAAAACAGAAATGTTTTAACCACTTATGTTCCAAAAAACAGGGCTTGTTGATATAAACGAAACTAAGTTTTCATGCATTTTGTTTAAAAAATAGATTAGAGACACTTGAAGAAGGATAAGCATGTTTCAAGGTCTAATGGTCTATAGTAATTATACCTTACTATATTTAAAAAGGTGCACACTGGTCAAACATGTGTTTTTAAGAGAACCTCTGTGGGATTGTTAAAACCCTGAGCAATTTTGAACTTTTCCAAAATGAACATAAAAATACAAAAGTTTCAAAGACTTACAACTGCTTCAGAGAAAGTAGCATCATCATCGGTTAAAATGGATAACCTCCCAAACACGCTAGCACATTGGTCCTCGGGAGCTGAAAATAGAAGACTGGCACCTGATACCATCCTAATAGTTCTCTTGTCAAGAAAATACGAGAGGTTTCGTGATCTCATGTGACTCCAGGTAAAAGGATCCACCAGCATTTCGCTATACCTTAGTCAAAATTGAAAAGAACTGTTTCAACTGATTAAATCGCGGTTTCCCATCACGAAAATAGTAGGGCATGTTTTATCATGAAAATACTAGGGAAAGGGAAAAAAATGCTAAGGACAGATACTTTCATGAGGACAGCTTTAACACATAAAATACAAGCAATAAAAATACTATATCAAAAAAGGCATCAAGGTTGTTTTTACTTGAGCTTATTTGTGTCTCAGACCAGACCAATTCAGACTAGATCAAACTAGATTTTTAAAGTTGTAACATACAAAGAGACCAGACATTTCCAGACATTTACCTGACCAAATCAGACCAATTCAAACCAAATCAAATTAAACCAGAAAATTTCAATCCAAGTAAAAAAAATCCCAAATATTTATTTGTTGGGTTTAAACCAAATTATTATTTCACCCCACATTTTCTTCCCTTCCAAAGTTTCCCCTAAATTTTCCTCCCTGTTTTCTTTCCCTGTCATTTCCCCGAGTTCCAAACTAACCCAAAGAGATTCCTATTCTTACATGAATTGTGGCATAATACATAGGAATGTATTACTCCCTACTTACATTAAAGCTCCTATGTTTGCAACACCATCAGGTAAGTTCTTGCCAGGCTCACTTAAACTTAAACAGTATACACTATGGGATAAAATATTTAAGAGTTTCTCTGTTGCAGAAACTGATGACACTCCCAAAAGTCTCCTTTGGAGTTCACGTGCAGTTATGAAAGAGAAGCTGCAGGTAGCACTATTAGCTTCTGTGTTTGATGATTCTTCAAATAATTGTCTGCTAGAGTCGAAAGCATCTTTTCTCGATTCCTTTTGCAACAATTTTTCCAAATGTTTATGAGAATCCATCTCAACGGTTGCTGCCACAAGAGCTCTGAGGTGTGAATCCCTCAATGGTAAGGAATGAATAAGATGTTCTATCATTAGATTTCTTGCATTCATAAGAGTCTTGGATGATAGATGTTCTAGACCCTGCGAAAACAAAAGAGAGAAAAAAAATAAGACGTTCATAAGACAGTTACCTGAGAATGGTAGAAAAAGTCTAATAAAGAGAGTTATGATGGTGAGTAGAGTACTAGAATCAAAGACAGTTTCAGAAACTAAAGGGGACTTGGTACTTAAGATCATAACCTTGGGGAAATGTGGGTTAGAAATCATCTCACATAAAGCTTTATTAAATTCCTCCAGAGAATCTCTATATTCATCATGGCTGCTCAAGTGTCCAATCACCTGGGAATCAAAAGTGCAACCCCAATAGAGAGTCACTTTGCTCTAAACAGAGGATCTTTTACATGCATAAACCATCAGCATACAAAGTGAAATAAATAAATAAATAAATAAATAAATAAATAAATAAATAAATAAATAAATAAATAAATAAATAAATAAATAAATAAATAAATAAATAAATAAATAAATAAATAAATAAATAAATAAATAAATAAATAAATAAATAAATAAATAAATAAATAAATAAATAAATAAATAAATAAATAAATAAATAAAAGAAATTTTTTAAAAATCCTTCCCAAATGTAAAGAAAAGTTTCATGTAATTTGCCAAAAATAGGTCACATACAGTTTAATAAGAGAGATTTAATAAATCCTGCAAATAATATAAGCACTGTAAAAGCAAACATTGAAAGTAGAGCATTAAAGATTCATAGTAGTTGTAAACTTGTAACTTAACAAAAGTAAAAGGGAAAAGAGAAAAATAGCCCCTTATACTAGTCCAAATAAGCATGCTTATTTGGAAAAAGCAATAATCGAGTTATTTTACCTGATTTTACCTTCTATAGAAAATCACCCTTGCAAACATTGGGAGAGTTGATGGATTTGTAAGAACTCGTCATATTTCAAAAAAAGTGAAAATTTTTAAAAAGAAAAATTAAAATTAAACATGTAAACACATTTCAAAAGAAAATAAGACAAAATTAAGTTTTTGAAACATATTTAATTTGATCTAGGTAATATTCTAAGTGATGTTGCATAAACATTCAATGCTCAAGTGATATTCTATGTAAACCTATTTAATTTGATCTAAGTGATATTAAATAAACATTTTATCTAAACGGCATCAACACTTCCTTACTAGAATCAGGGAAATTGTCACTATTTTAATGTATGATAGCCTCAAGCATGGAAGGCTATGAAGGAGTAGCAATCAATCATTCATTCAATACAATAACAGCTGCAGAAACTGGACAACCATTATGGCTGTAATTTATGGAAATTCATGAGTGCAACAGACAAAAAGAGCTGGAGAAGATATAAAGTACCCACGTCCTCAATTAATAGAGCCCATTGGAGAGCCTTCTTTATATTAGACGAATCCCAGTGAGCAAGACTACCAGACGATTGATACCCAGATGCAAGAATCAACATATCTACAAACCCTTGTATTGCTTTCAGAAAATCTTCTAGGGCTATTTCTGGATAATTCCAACCTGCCATTTTATTTTATTGGAATACCAATTCAAACGCGAATTTTAGCTGTAGAGAAGTTGGAAACGTGAAAGAGACCCCCACAGGGCGAGAGGTGTAAAGCCGGAAAGTGTGGATAAGTTAGATTTAAGATTTTGAGACAGGAAGCACGCCTATAGTGGAAGACTGAAAGAGTGGAAGCCAAGAGTATCTTCTTCACCCTAGCTTGAACGGAAATTCTTCATTCTCGTCTGATGACCCAAAGATGTCCTGGCATTTATACTGGTGGATAAAATATGGTTTACATATGAATATGAATTTAGTAAAACACTAATTAAATTATTAAAAATAATGTTTCACTTTTAATTTTTCTCTTGAATAATTATGAAATAAAAAATAAACATTTCGATGTAAAAATAAATAATTTTCACAACTTTTTTTTAACATTTTTCGGTTTAAAAATGAATTTTTTAAGTGAAGCCCGGTTATAGAATATTCAGTTGTTTGTGAAGACTTCATGAATTAAAAATTTGTACTTCGTTTTTTTAGCTCAAGAAACCGCAACAGTTAAAATTTCAAAAAAAAAATCATTTTATATATCACATATGGATGTCATATGAAAGATCATAAAAATTTAAGAATTTTGATATATTTTTTGAAAAATTTAGATGACAAATAAAAAAGTTATATAAGTTTAAAAAAATTGGGATATAATGATGCAAGGGTGACACCTGACATCATCATCACCAAAAGAAAACATGTAGCGGTGCCATTCTTTTTCTTTTTTCTTTATTTTTTCTTTTTCCACTCTTCTAAACTCACCCTCTATATTTAACTCACTACATCCTCTTCTTCATTTTTAATACTCCTTTTAAACCACCACTACACACAATGAGGAGTCCAAAAGTTCCATATTTAACATTTTGGACTCGTAATACCTCACCACTCCAAATGGTCTAAGTTGGAGGATTAGGGCATTTTTATAACTAGCCATGAACAACTAAACTACTCCCTCCTGCCGGTAGAGTTCTAGTTTTCCTTTTTTTAGCCGTCCCAAAAAGAAGTTCTTCTTTCATTAAACGCAAAGTTATCCTGCATCAAAATAGTAGTGCAAAACAGTGCAAAACAGTATCAAAACAGTGCCAAACAATGTCGAAATAATGTCAATAAAGTAAAATTTACCCCCTGGTAAATTAATTTTCTTAATATGTGTGTAGGTCAAACCAAGAACTTCTTTGCGGGATGGAGGGAGTATCAAACATTTTTATCATCACATTTTTTGAAAGATATTGATAAAAAACCTTACATCTATTAAACATTTCTATCATCACATTTTTTTGAAATATATTGATCAAAAACCTTACATCAGACTCATAATTCGAAGGTCCACTCACTTCCGGATCAGACATAAAAAGATCATCCTAATTTGAGCTGAATGTTTCGCTAACCTTTCCTGGACCTTAATACTTTAGCAGGATAACAGCTAAGGATGTTATCCTGTTAAATGTCTGGTTTGATAAACGTCATGTCTTTGTGTATCTTATAATTAGCGGTCTGACGCGCAATGCGCGAGAGCCTATGCCCAATATAATGTAGAATTTATACTTATTGCCCGTTTGATAACACTTGAATAGACTGAATCGGTTAGTTTTGTTGAAATTTATGAAATTCTGAATGAACGGGCTGGATTAACAGATTCTGCTGAATCACGAAAAATTATATTTAAAATATATATTCTTAATAAAATAAAGAAAAAATTATACTACAGTATGAAAAATATCTAAATTGATTATTAAACAACTCTACATGCGAAATCAAAAGTTATGATGAAAAAGTTGACAGGTATAAGGCAGATAAATCAAAAAACCGGGATACCAAATTAAATGGGCGCTAATATAATACTCCCTTCACCCCGAAAAGATCGCCAAATTGACTTTTGTTGGTGAATGCCAATCAACTTTGACCAATGATATTTTTAATTCAAAATGGTTTAGAATATGAAAATTATATCAAAGTGTTCTTTATTCAAAATATTTTCATAAAAATATAAAATTTATAAATTATATACAAATATAATAATTAAAATTTTTGTCCAAAATTTGGCATCATTAACTAAGAAAAATCAATATGACAAACTTTTTTAGGATGTAATACATCTGACTATTTGAGTATTATTTTGCCCACTACTTGGTATCGTGGGACATTTGATTAAGTCAATTTTTTGATTGAATAAATAAGTTGTGTTTCCAATTAAGTCGTAAGCAAACATGATTTAAGAATAATACTAAAAAAAGAGCTATGAACAAAAAAGAGACCTTTATTTCAATTTTCCAAAAATGAGACTAACAATGGGTTAAGAGACTATTATACCCTTATTTTAATAGAATCTCACCCATTAGTCTACAATAACGCCACAGTGACTAAAATCATTATCGTGACCAAAATTCGTCACTGACCAAAGATCATTTGTGACCAAAAATCCAAAAATTCGTCAGTGACCAATATCATTAGTGACAAAAAATTCTACCTAGTTACCAACGTCAACCCGTCCAGTGACCAATCCGACTAGTGACCATGACCAATCCACCCAGTGACCAAAAATCATTTGTGACCAAAATTCCAAAAATCTGTCAGTGACCAAAATCATTAGTGACCAAAATTTTTACCTAGTTACCAACGTCAACCCGTCCAGTGACCAATCTGACTAGTGACCATGACCAATCCATCTAGTGACCAAAAATCATATGTGACCAAAAAACCAAAAATCCGTCAGTGACCAAAATCATTAGTGACCAAAAATTTTACCTAGTTACCAACGTCAACCCGTCCAGTGACCAATCTGATTAGTGACCATGACCGATCCACCCAGTGACCGTAACCCGTCACAGTGACCAATGTTATAGTTACCAATGACATAGTTACAAAATTTATCCAGTGACCAAAAATTAATACGTCCCACCAATGACCCGCATCACAGTGACCAAATGTGCAGTGACTTTGTCCAGTGACCAATTGACAAAGTGACATCCGCTCGGTGATCAATTTTAATAGTGATTCACGTGCAGTGACCACCGCCACAATGACCATCGTCTACCAGTTACAGTTACACCCGACCAATGCCACAATTACCAACACTTAGTGACTCAGCTCTAGTGACATCCCGACTACGGTGACATCCGCCACCCGACCACCCCAATCTGAGTGACCAACCCGACCCCGGTGACCAACCCAACCCCAGTGACCAACCAATAGCGACATCCGGCCGCCTCGTCAATGCCCCGAATTTCCCAACCAACCTCGCTGCTACCCTAGCAGTCCAATCCAGTCCCGCCCCCTGCCCAACCAGCCCCCCTTCCCCACCATAGTGACCTGCCCAACCAGCAGCCCCTGCCACGCACCCAGCCACCCAGCAGCCCCCTTTCCCCGCCCCTGCTGTGCCTTCACAATCCCATCGCACCAACACACCCCACCTCCATCTGCCGCACACCACCGGTCCCACACCACCGCGTGAGCCCATCACGGTCAGCCCAGCGCCACTCGTCACCCTCATACTCTATCACCGCGCTGGGATATCCCTTCGACGTCGTCCTTCCGATCTCATCCTCAACACCACCGAGATCTGAAAATGAGCAGCGACCATCACCGCGTTGGTGAGCAGAGATGATTAGAAGAGAAGAAGAAGAAGAATTTGATGAAGGTGAACGAATTGCAAGTTGCGGCGATGATGAAGTGATTGGCAGGCGTCGGAGATTGTGATGCGATTGGATGGCGTCGGAGATGGTGGTGGGCGATTGGCAGGCGGCGAAGATTGTGGTGCGACTGGATGGCCTCGAAGATGGTGGTGAGCTTGGCATCCGGCGAAGTTGCAAAGACGAGGCGATGGGAGAGACAGAGGCGAAGTTGCAGAGGTCACCGGGTGATTCGTTGGAGCTGCTGGACGCGGAGCTTTAGAAGGGTATTTTGGCCTTTTAAAAACTTATAGGTCTTATTTATGTCTGTATTGATTAGTAGCTCTATTTTTGTCCAGCTATAAGCCCTAGCTATTATTTTAGTCACTCTTTCATGATTTAATGATTAAGCGATTAAATTATCTTTTGGTCTTTCCCATAAAGTACCTTAAGTCTTAAGTAAACGGTCTCGAATGCATCTAGAGTTAATCGATCGTCTTCCCACCCCTTCATTTAGACAAAGCCTTTTATTCAAAGCATTCAAAGATAATTACACATAGCCTTAGATCGAGAAATGTTGAGCATGGAAGTCAGGATGATCTGAGTTAAGATTTTTTGTTTGATTTACAGTTGTATATGAAAGTTTATTTTATATTCTCTTTATATGGATTTATGAAAGGATAAAAAGTGAAGATAGCTAAGAATTCATGCAATTTTTCTACTAGTTTTTTTTTTTTTGGCTGGTGAAAAATTAATTAATATTAATCAAATCATTGTCCAATACAGAAGAAAGAAATAACGGAGGAACATGAAACCAAAACTGAGAATCAGACAAAGAACAGGCCCTCTGTGCCAAAGCATGAGCTGCCCTATTCGCTGACCTCCTAACGTAAGAAAAAGAGATGCCGGAAAAGTTCTTAGCAAGATCTCGAATATCATCCGCAACCAACCCAAATGAAGAATTACTCGAGCCCTTCGAGATTTCCATAATAGCCCGGGAAGAATCAGACTCCACTTCAACGTCCCTCCATTCCGAATCAAGCAGCCAACTCAAGGCCTCCCGTATCCCAATTAACTCAGCCTCTAGCACGGATATTGCTCCCTGCCTTGGATAAACGCCTGCAGCCACAAATTGCCCTGTTTCGTCCCTAGAGCACCAACCCAGGCCACAAGACCCTTCACGGACAGCGGCATCAACGTTGACCTTCAATCTTCCCTCAGCTGGGCGACTCCAGGTCTGGACAGTCCGCTGCCCCGCTACTCTTCCTTCCCTGTTAGCAACCTGTGCCTCAATCCAGCTCGTCATAAAAGCCTCCGCCTTAGCCATAAACTGTTTTGCCGAAGAAAGGGACGCCTGCCATACGCGGCGATTTCTTTCACCCCAGATGGCCCAACACCCCCAAATGAGCTTCACAAGATCCTCCCTGCTTCTTGACCGGAACTCCTTCCGAACCTGCTCCAGGAACTCAGACCCGTCAATGGCAGACCATTTCCAAGACACCACCCTCCAAGCCTCTGTAGCAATCGCGCAGTTCTGAAAGATATGCTCCAGG